ACGCCGGGGACATGTGCCGTGCTTGACTGACGACTTCAAACGGTGAAATTTTTATACTCTACAGGCATAATTATCTATAGAAGGGCAACGGGGCGGATTTGGTTTCGGACAGGGTCTCTGCGCACCTATTCTGAACACCAATTGAGTGATAATGCACGCCGTCACCAAATCTGGTGGATCCCTGAAACCCATCATCATTGTATGGCAATACAATAAGAGCAATAAGGAGTTTCTGGCTACCCATGCATGACATATATTACATATTCACATATATAAATAAGAGGCAACAAACAACGTACAATTCCATGACTCAATTTAGAACAAACTTTAGTAGTTTAAACAATTTATTAATACAAGAGGTCAAAAATCAAAATGATCTACTATTTGGAACCTCCATTAGGTATCCGTGGGTGGAACCCAAAATCCGAAACCAAACCCAATAATACGTTAGTGCTTTGGGTGTCAGTTAAAAAAAAAGGATTCCTTTTTGCCAGAAACGTGCAAGGCGTTACGTTGGGTTTTGTTCGGGGGGTGGGGGGGCGCTTTCGGTGAGATTGCGTTGGCAAGTTACGTAGTCCACGGCGGCACTGCGGCACAGCAAAACAGGGCAGGTGATGCATGTGGATGTGGCATGTAGGCCGTCCGCGTAGGCCTGGACTGGGCAAGCACCAAGCAGCCAAGCATGCCGTCTCCTCTCTCCAGGAACCAGGAGGCAGCTGGCATGTCTGGGTCAAGGTCGGTGTACCTTGTGTTCCACTCACGACTCACCCAACCAACCTAGTCCCTCCGTCCAGAAAAAAAACGCATGTCCAGATTGAATTGTTTTTTTACCCTACACAGAGGGAGTACCCGGGACGGCCGACGGCGACGCGCGTTCGCCGGCAGGGCCAGCCGACCAGGCCAGCCCCCCACGGCCCACCCACAGGGCACGCCACAGCCCACCCCGGCGCCGGCCTCCGCCCCCGTCCGTCGGCCCACCATGACGATTGACGCCATGCATGTGATCCTCTGCACGTCTGCACCGGCCTCCTGTAAGCGACGCGACGCCGGGCAGGGCAGGGCAGCTCCTCCGGCTGCCTGTGCGGCTGTCCGCATGCGCGCCAGCCGTGGCAGTGCAGTCATGGTAGATGGCACCCCGCGCGGCGTGATTGGCCTCCGTCCCGCGCTCTCCGGTTCCGGCTGGCCACGGCAGGGACGCAGGCGAGACCCAGAGGCGCGCACGTGCTGGCGGACGGACGGGGATTGGCGGCGCTTGCTGATGCTGATGCTGATGGACGCCACGCGCAGCACAGGCCTAGCTCAGCGTCGTCACTGCATGGTTGCAGGATGCTGCTGCTGCCGTCGAGTGCATGCATGTGCATCCATCCATATCCATAGATATATCAACATGCAGTCAGTGACGGGGACAGGGCGAGGAGGCGAACGAGCAGTTGCACTGTGCCGCGGCCACGGCCCCTCCGTGGACAGCACAGCTCACGGCGTCCGACCGTCACTGTGTGCTGTGGCTCTGCCACGCACACATCACTTCCAAGAGATGGACGGATGGATGCTGGATGCGGTGTCTAGTTCAGGACGCACGCATGCATTGCATGCACAAATGCGACGCGATGATGCAATTAAGTCAACTAGCTTGCTGATGATAGTAGGCACAAGGAGTTTTTCTTATAGATAACTAATAAATAAAAGAATTAATAAAGATACATAAACCAACAACCAGCATTATTGTCAATGGATGATGGATCATGGTGTGTCATTGTTCCGGCTTCCGGGAACGGGAAGGGATTCTTCTTCTTGAGCGACAAAACTGCGTGTCTGAATGACAGGTGAGCAGTTCGAAGATCAGGTTCAGCACATGCGCATGGGAGTTGGAACTTTTCACAGCATGGTCATGCGCTATCAGCCATCAGGCTATGGCTACGGCCTATGGCCTAGTATGGCTTCTAGTACTCCACATTTCAATTTTCAAATCCCAGCCGCCAGAACAGTGCTTTCCTCTTACAGTAATCAGTCGAAACAGTATTTTTCAGTCCTGTTGAACAGCCTCGGAGCTACGCTCATCTTGCCTTCTCTCCACCAAAGGTCAGTCAAGTCATGAGATAGGGATGGCCTGGCCTGTTTGGTGTAGCATCCGCTAGCTTCGGCTTCGCCACCAGAGTGTGGACTGAGCCGCACCAAAGCTCACACAAAGGAGGAGCGTTCGGGAACCGAGGGCGTGCTTGGTTGCCAGCCAGAGCGCGCCACCGCCACTGCCTAAGGTGCGGTGCTGATTTTGGCCGCCACACTCAAAATTACGTGGTTGGTTAGTGGAATAATTTTAGCCCCGTTCGCTGCAGCAGCTGCTACGCCACAGCTACAGTACCAAGAGAGGGCAATTGCAGCCGCTGCTGCAGCCATGACAGTGCAGAAAGTTGTGGCTGACGTAATTATTTCACCAACCAAGCATGTAACTTTTTCTGTGGCGCCACCCAGGTTTCAGGTCCGCTGGGTGACCCTAGGCACGGCTTGGAAAATGCAGAGACTTAGCCCGGCACGACATAGGGCCCGTTCGCTTCGCTGAAAAAACAATCCGAACTCTATTCCAACTGATTTGTTATGAGATAAAAATATTATTCCGACTAAAAAAATAAACTAAAAAATATGGATTATAAGAGAAGCGAACATGGCCTAAATCCATAGTGGCCGCTAGTCCAGCCCGCAGTGCTGGCACGGGAACGAGCATAGCACGGCTAAATGGGCTGGCACTGTATCGGCCCGAATTTTCCTTGTCGTTAGATGTCCTCAAGTAAACCATAGTCGATGGATCCGCATAGAGTGCCATCTCTAAGAACCCCTTCTCTAGAAACCCTAACTCCTCACTCCCTCTCGGTCTTTCTCACCTCCTAATGTAGGCGACGCGGCTCCTCCCGACATAGGCAACGCGGCTCCTCCCGATGTAGGTGGCGCGACCCCGCAGAGTGCAGTGGAGGCGGCATGGCCCCGCGTGCGGCAGAGGAGGCGTGACTCCATGAGCGAAATCGGCATGGCCGACGCAGCCTCACGGGATGGTGATGACGAACTGGGCAACACGGCTCCACAATGGGGCGACGGCAGAGCGAGCGGCGTAACGCCCTGTTCACTTGAACTTATCAGCCCGGTTTATCAGCTATGATACAATGTTCTTTCATAACAAATCAACATCAGTCGGCTTATCAGCCGAACATACTCATAACAATGATGACTCGATGAGAGGTGCGACCCCGAATGGCCTATAATGCTTAGGCCGGCACGAACACGCTAGGCCGTTGTTCCCATAGTGTCGGTACAACATAGATAAAGAGATCATAGGGCCGTGCCCGTGCCTGGATCAAGATATGGGCATGACGGCACCACACAACAACATGGATAATACATAGTGCCTAGGGTGTTTGATTCAGAGACTAAAGTTTAGTAGGTGTAGAAGGACTAAACATGAGTCTAATTAAGCGGATGATTTGATTAGAAGAACTCAAACATAGTTTTATAATGAATCTAACGTTTAATATTTTGATTTGTCTCAGAACTAAAATTTAGTAGGAGAACCAACCACCCAGGGATCAAACACCAATTAGTCTACTCCCTCGACCCTTTTCAATATTTGCATCGAAATTGGACCTGTCCTGTGTCAAACATGGAAGAGACAGTGAATGAAGACTGCCGGAAAATTTGAAAACAGGAGTAGGGGAGAACCAACCAGGGGGCCCGGCTGCTGGATCAAACACAACGTTCGACAGGCCTTCTAGTCTAACTCGCTCCTCTCCTCTTTATCTAAAGATATGACCCAAAAATTAGCCTCTTAATCCAAACAGGGGGCATCGGCTGCTGCACTGCACAGTCCACACACCAGCAACGTATTATTTCCAAATCGACAGGCCTTTGGTTTGTTTCAGCACAACTCCCCTGAATACTCGCTCGAAAACATCCTCAGATTTTTCTCAAATCAAAATCTCCTCTCCTCTCCATCATGCATGATTGCAGTTGGAGTTCCTAACTTCCTATACCGCCTGCCTCGTTCTCACTGTCTTGTCTCACAGGCACAAGCAAACAATCGCCATTGCCCTGTCCGGCTGTCCCGGCCAGAGGAGGAGGAGGAGGAACAGAGGCAGGACACTGGACGCCCACATGGGCAGGGCAGCACAGCACAGCACACCGGAAGCCCTGTCACGCTGAACAGAGGAGAGCAGAGCAGGAGCCCTGTAGTAGACGGCTAGTAGACTCCGGCCGCTGCTCTGGGCTTGGTGACAAGACAGAGAACAAAATGGTTGGCAAAAAGTTATGAGAGACAGTTGGAGGGATAGCCTGTCTTTCCCATTTAAGGACACTGCCCTGCCTGCCGCCCCTCTCCACCCCCCCTGACACCTCTCCCCGTCTCTTCTCCCTCTTCCGCTTCCTCCCCAACGCCAGCGACCCTGTAGCTGTAGCTGTAGGCACACACAGGACGACGCGAGCAAGAGTCTTGGCGTTTCTCGCGGCCCTACCCGTGAGCAAGACCAGTCCATATCTCGTCCGAAGACGAAGACAAGGCCAAGGCCAGGGGTCAATCAAAGAGAAGACTTGTCACGGTGGCCGGGTGTCAGAGGCTTCAATGTTCCCTTCAGCTCGTGGTCGTGGGTGTCCAACTCCAGGAAGCAACGCAGCAGCCCAGGGAAGCAGCAATGGCTTCTTCAGCCTTGCATTGATGGGGCGCCCAGACCAAGCATAAATATAAGCCTCTCCTACAACTCTACCAGACACACACAGACAGTATATTCATATTCATATTCATATTCATCCATCCTCTCCTCTCCCTCCCAAGTCCCAAGCTCATCAGCCTCTTCTCAGCTTCTTCTCTCTCTCTGTTTCTTCACGGCTTCACGCTAGCTGCTCATTCCCACATTCCCTTTTGGCTCCCTGCTCTAGCTTTTCTCCATCCTGCTTTGGCTCTCTCTCTCTCTCTCTCTCTCTCTCTCTCTCTCTCGGCCATCTTCGCACTCCATCCCGCCGCCATGGAGTCCTCCTCCCACATCACCGGGGAGGACGACGGCGGCGAGGGCTGCAACAGCTGCGAGTCCGGCTGGACAATGTACCTTGCCTCGCCCATGCATATGCACGGTCATGGGCATGACGACGACGCTGGCGGCAGCGGCAAGGGCAGCGGCAGCCAAGGGAGCAGCGTCGACGACGGCTACGGCTACATGATCAGCCACGGAAAGAAGCAGGGCTACGAAGATTATGCCGATGCCGACGACGACGACTCCCTCGCGTCGGATGCCTCCACCGGCCCAGCTAAAGTGAAGTCGCCGTCGCCGTCGTCCCTGCTGGAACACCAACACGGCAAACAAGATGAAGATTACAACGATGATGATGGAGGACATCATGGCAAGGAAGAGCAGGAGGAAGGTGGCGACGCACGCACAAAGTTCGGCGCCAGCTCCCGCAAGAAAGCTGCTGCTGGCAATGGCAAGGTGGACAAAGGAGGAGGAGAGGGCAACTCATCAAGGCGAGGCCACAGCAAGAGAGGCGGCGGCTCTTCAAGGAGAAGCTTTTTCCTCTGGTAAAACAAACATCGACGACTGATAGAAATGTACTATTACTATTATAGCTTCGTTTCATTCAACGGTACCAGTAGACAGTAGCATGAATCCTCCTTTTCGTCATTGCTGGTCGAGATCGAAACCTTGCTTGTTGTTAGAAGAAGAAGAAGAAGCATCAAGCAAGCATGCATTCATTCGTGGAGATAGATCAATCAATGGGAAGGCTATTTTTTGGCCCTTGTTTTTGCCTTCTCCATATGGCCATCTCCTCCTCCTCGTTGACCACCCAGTAGGGTTCCTTCATTAGCCGTTGCCATGTAAAAAAATCTACTGTAACCTCTTGTCATTGTTGTTCTTCAGTGCCCTGTGCTTTTAATGTTGCTTGCAATCTCCTTCTGTGTTTGTAGATATTAATGAACACTGCCCTAACTCATAACCTATATACTGACCAGATGGATATATTTGAGGGTTCCCTCACCTCAAGTTGATTTATTTATTTGGGGATGGAGGGGAGTATGGGGCATATGACAGCAAACAGAAGAAGAAGAAGGAAAAAAAACTGCTTCCCTAGTACTCGTACTCGTATCTTGAACGTCAGAGGAATGTGTGTGCATTGCATATTCTGTTGTCACAATACAATATCTATTGTTAAGAAAAAGAGTGCACATGCTCACATGTTATCTGCCTAGCAAAATCTCCAACCATATATAACATCTCAGTAAAGAATAATATCCAGCAATCATCACTACCTAAGTTGAGCTAAACATAAAGGAGCAGGAACATGTATCGATCACAGTTCACAGGCAAGCGTTGCTATGCTAGCTGCTGCAAGCTTTCCGAGAGCCAACAGTCTGCCAACTCACATTCCTCGAGCAGATGCTGAGAGCAGGTGTGACCTTGGTATGGTATGGTAGCCTCAGCTCAACTGATCATTTGTTGGCAATGCATGGCATGGCTGCCCCTGCATGCCCATCTATCATGCATGTGGTGAGTACTAGTATCCTATCCTATATAACAACGCGGCAGAGGAACGAGTTATGTGGCCTAAACTCCAGAATGGAGGAATATTTGTCTAACCACACCACTCATGCAGCATCAACGCAGCAATTGCTGCACATGCTGTGGACAGGGTGGACACAATGATTTGCCTATCACTCAGGCCAAGCTAATTAATGGCCATAACCAAACCTACAATGATGTAAGCTGGTTTAATTAGCATGTCTCTAAAACAAAACACCCCCCCTATCCCTGTGTATGTATTTTTTTTTCTGCTACACCAAATCACACAAAAAAGTATATAAAATATGCATGGTTCATGTCTAGAAGAATATATGAAAAGAACAACACGAGTACAGCTAATGCACCTCTTTTTTGCACCAATCTCCTTGCATAGTGGTGGCAATGAGCTGCTAGACTTTATACAAGAATTAAACAAGGTATGGTTGCGTCTCCTAATGTGTGGTGGCAGCAACATGCTGCAATTAAGCCTCGCACACCAATAATTCTCCATGAACGAACTTGATCATAGAAACGTATGATGCGGGTCTGCACGGCCCAATAAAGCTTGCAGACAACAGAAGAAGATGCACAAGGGAGTCCAGCTATCACCTGCTATTCCCATGTATGATTCTTTTCAATCCAGAGCAGCAAGTGTCGAAAGGCGACTTTGGCACCGTTCAGATAGTCGTTCTGGGTGGGAAGAATAATAGTGCAGGCAAAGATACGCCTCTGGAGTCCAGCAAGGTGCCATCCTCATCGCTGGAAATGGAACAGAAGCATTCAACAAGAAGCATGTCAGCAAGAGCTTGGCAGTCTCTCTTCAGGTTCAGGAACAGGATAAAAATGGGAATTGGTAGTCACACTCACTCGACACTGCAAGTGGCCAACTGAAAAGAAAAACAAAACAAGCAATTTTTCAGAGATGGAAAAGGAAAACAAAGATCCATCAGAACTGCAATGCTCTGTTCTATACAATTGCAGAGTAGGAGTATATATAATCTTATGTTCTATACAGTTCTTCTGTCTGACCATGCTGCCAATATTTTTATGCGTGAAACAAAAAGAACTTTTTTTGAACAGAAAGTAAAAGGAAATGTTCAGAATCTTGATCAATGAAGAAGCTCATGAGTCATAAGCCTGCAATTCATCAGAACATCATAATATTTGACTTTTAGTGTATAAACCTGTCCAAGTCAGAAAATCAAGGTGAACCACAGTTGTTTCAGAACTGTTTTTTCTGTAACTTTTTCTTAACGTATAAAAGGGCATGACCTGCCGTTTAATTAATTAATTAAATTAGGGAAAATTTTCTATAGTGGACAGCATGTTCAATTAAAGCAAAGCAGGACAAAAAACTTAACCAATGCCGAGTTCTTCTTCATCTAACAAAATGGTGACATTTGCAACCACTGAATCTCAGATCCAAAATCATTAACATTGAGCAACTAGCTTGAAAACACAAAATTACAGATTCAGTTGCAATACACTGCGTAGATTATATAATTACTAAGCAACCGAATTGTTCCCGTGGACTAATTAGTACGTAGATCTCTCTTTAAAAAAAACAGAAAGGTGGAGAGGATTCCGAGATCTTAGTCGATTGCTTCCCAAATTCGAAACAAAGAAATCACCCGCTATCGAGCAGTCGGCGGAGCGGATGAGCCGATGAGGAATGACCCTGACAGTGCGGAGGCAGCGAGAAGCACGTGCGAACCATCGAAGGGAGGGGCCGAAGGGCCAAGGGCGGCGGCGGCCAGAGGAGCGGCGCCGCGGCGGGGCTGAATGGCGGCTGGTCACGTGGAGGAGTCGAGTCGGAAACGACCAAGGACACGTGCAAAATCACCTCGTACTTTTATGTGAAAAATCCGAGGGCCCCAAGTTTAATTAACTACAGTCTACAAGAGTCGGACTACAAGGCCGTTTGGATGCTAAAGTGTCCGTCACGATGTTTGATGCTAATTAGAAGCATTATATATAATTTAATTATAAAATTAATTATATAAATGAGGGTTAATTCACGAGACGAATCTACTCATCCTAATAATTACTTTATGATTTAATAATATGGTGTTACAATAAATATATGTCAATGATAGATTAATTAGGCTTATAGATTCGTCTTGTGAATTAGCCATAATTTCTGCAATTAATTTTATAATTAGTTCATGTTTAGTCTTTCTATTTAGCATTCGAACATTCGATATGACAAGGGCTAAACTTTAACCAAGGATCAAACACTCACGGCACCACCCAAAATCCCTGGCTTATAAATATTTTGATTTGAAATGATAGAGTGGTTTAAGGATACGATGGTTTTGTAATCTACTTCCTCTATTTCAATTTATGGGTCATTTTGACTTTTCTTCATATATACTTAGAAAACCTAAAGCGACTTATAATTTGTGACAGAGGACGGTAACTACTGTATGTCATAATAAAAAAATACTTTCTAAACAACTATTCACCTTTAAATAAGAAGTTCAATATATATTAAGAAAAAAATATGAGTAACAAGGTACAAAATTTGGCTATAGCTCCCAGTCGACGAGCTTCGTCCAATAATGGCACCTGAGCATTTCTCAAGCTATATAAGCAAAGTTATTAGGATTGGATTTATCAGCGGTCCAACCGTAAAAAGACTGAACATAAGATACACTAAAAAAATTATGTGCAATCGGATTGCTAAAAATCGATTGAATTGGTCGGTTTAGTGCAAAATTTGTGAACCGACCAATTCCATGTGAATCGATTAGTTATTTTTCAAGTATTACCCCTGTGTCTACTTGGTGAAACCTTTAGCCACCTAAGGGCGTAAATAGAAATGATGGTTTTTTTTTATCACGTCGAGGCTTTTACGGTTTGGCCCTGATGAGAGGGAGGAAATCACTTTTAGCTTTTTGGGTAGGAGTTAGTTGGCGGCGTGGGCTCGCATTTGCCGGCGACTACTCCAGCCCGGCTAGTTTCGTTGGTCGCGTGAGAGTGACGGTGGTGAACATCTAATTGGCGGCGGCTGCTCTAGCTCATGTGGTTCGGCCTTGCTCTTCATCAGCGACTCGCTCCCTGCACCTGCAACATCTACCACGGCTCATTCCCCGCCCTATCTCCCTAGGTCACTAGTTGTCGATTCATCTGGGATCTGGCCTTTGCCAGTTCGCCAGGTGGCAACCACTCCACCGTCTAGCTCTAACTCGACACCTCGTCCTTGTAGGTCTGCCTATTCTTCACCGACAAGCAAGCATGGTCGATATGACATGGCTAATCGTTAGTTTTGAATTTTTCGTGGATAGTGTACTGTTGATGGTCACAAAACACCTATTTTAACCATCAACAATGCAAACATTCCAAGGAAAAACCAACATGAAATGCAGAAATTTGGTTTATTACTAATGGAATTCCACTTGTACATGAAGTCTATTTGAATGCAGGAATTTTAGTAAGAATGGTGCAAAACAAGTGCATAGGAGGCAAATAGACGTGGCAGGGGGCCTGGGCCCACAGTGTCACGTCAGCTGGCGCCACTTGGCACCACCCGATGCCCCCTGTCCCCTACTACGTCACTGATCCATGGGAAAGCTTCCATAAAGCTTCACAACTGTCGATCCAATGTCGGTTTGATCAATGGTCAAGAATGAGTTGCCGTGGATCCATGGGCCCATTGTCATTGACTTGGAGGAGCTCCACCGACTTAACCACCGCCTTCCTCGACCAAATCTGCACACGTGTTGTCTAAGTAACCGCCTTTGGGAGCCAACCAAGGCCCTATGATGCAAAGGCGGTGCATCCCACGGTCGGCCGACGCCTAGGGACGTCGCCCGGCGCCCAAGTTTGTTCCACCGTGAAAGCACTAGTTTGGTTTTAGATAATTGATGAAACCTAGAACTAATCTTTGTTATAAGTGTGTGAATTAGACAAGATGGTCCAATCCAAATAATTGAGCAAGATGAGGTCCATGGAGTTGAAGATGGACATGTGATGATGATGATCAAGCTCAACTTGGAAAAAAGAAAGAGAAAAACAAATCCAAT